TGCAGAAGCGACCGCCACGGCCCAGGAGCACGCCCGAGCTGCCAAAAAGCGCTCCAAGACGCCCACCGCGGCCCCGAGACTGCCCAGGCGGCCCCCGAAACGCGACACAGCCGCTCCAGGGCCCTCAAGAGACCCTAAGAATAGACAATCATCCATTCCCCGCGGGTTTCATGCGGATTCGAACCGCATTCCATTTCTAAAAAGCACCAGGGCCAAGAGGCCTGCAGCCCTGGCGGGCAAGTGGCTGAAATGGCTTCAGGGGCCCGAACCCCCGGTCCCCCAACTGGTTCAGGGAGTTTCCGCGAGCTGCCGGTATCTCAGGAAAACTTCCAGCAGCTCCCGGGGCCGATACAGAAGCGACCGCCACGGCCCAGGAGCACGCCCGAGCTGCCAAAAAGCGCTCCAAGACGCCCACCGCGGCCCCGAGACTGCCCAGGCGGCCCCCGAAACGCGACACAGCCGCTCCAGGGCCCTCAAGAGACCCTAAGAATAGACAATCATCCATTCCCCGCGGGTTTCATGCGGATTCGAACCGCATTCCATTTCTAAAAAGCACCAGGGCCAAGAGGCCTGCAGCCCTGGCGGGTAATGGGCTGAAATGGCTTCAGGGGCCCGAGCCCCCGGCCCCCCAACTGGTTCAGGGAGTTTTTCGCGAGCTGCCGGTAACTCAGGAAAACTTCCAGTAGCCCCCGGGGCCGATGCAGAAGCGACCGCCACGGCCCAGGAGCACGCCCCAGCTGCCAAACAGCGTTCCAAGACGCCCACCGCGGCCCCGAGACGGCCCAGGCGGCCCCCGAAAGGCGACAAAGCCGCTCCAGGAGGGCCTTCAAGAGACCCTAAGAATAGACAATCATCAATTCTCCGCGGGTGTCATGCGGATTCGAACCGCATTCCAACTCTTAAATGCCCCCGGGCCAAGAGGCCCTCAGGGCCCCGAGAAGCCCCGGAGGACAACGGCAAGGAAAACGCGAACGGACGCGCTCAGCCCTCCGCCTCGCACCGGCCGCAAGGAAACAGACGACCCGACCCCCCCCCCCCCCGAACAAACAAAATCCCAAGAATCCCTTCAAAGCCCACAAAGCCCCCCCCCCCCTAGACAACCCCAGGAGCTCCCCGAGAGTTCCTCGAAAGGCATCCCCAGCGACCCTCAAATGCATCCAGTAAGCCCGATGAACCATAGCCCAAGCACCGCGGCGAGATGGGCAGAAGGCCCCCGGGCAATGATTGGCGACGCGAGAGTCTTGCTCGCGAGAAAGTGCAAACGTCAGACGCGCGACGCAAAACTCGGCCCATCGTTACAAAAGGCACCGCGGTCAATTTCTATAACAGAACTCCCGGGTTGGGGCCGCCAGGCCCGACGCCGCCAGCGAAAAGACACCGCGTCACTCTGTGTTGGACATCATGTCGGACATCAGACAGGAGTGGAACGCGCGGTTGTTTGTGACGGGCATCAGCAGCACGTTGCTTTCAAATGTTTATGTCGAACTGGAAAAGGCGCGGCTCCGCGTCGTCGCTGCACGAGACGAGCAGCACGCGGCCGCACATGGAATGACAGTGCAACGACGTCAGAACTAGCTTGGAACGCGCACTTCGGGGCATCATGCGCCACCGAGCCGTTCGAGCGCGCTTCTCGATTCGCGGCGATGCCGGGCGTCATTGGCGGGGGGGCCGGCGGGGGGGCATGACGCACGGCCCGCCGCGGCGCCCCGCAGCAACGCCGTGCGTTTCCGGCGCCGCGACAGCGCCCCCGCGCGCGACGACGACGATGACGAGCGACCACGACGACGACGACGACGAAAAGATGACGATCACGACGACGACGACGACGACAACCGACCGACCACGACGAGCGACCACAACGACTGCGACGACAAAGACGGCGACGACGACGACAACGGCGACGACGACGACGACGACTAAGACGAGGAAGACGAGGAGGAAAACGACGACTGCGAAGACGACGACGGCGCCGAGCGACGCCTCCGGATGTTTCTGGAGGTTTCCCGACGCCTCCGGAGGTCTCGCGGTCTCTTGAGGCCGCTGGGTGCCTCCAGTGGACTTCCACGCGTCATCCGAAGGCCTCCAAAGGTTTCCGAGGGCATTCGAAAGCGCGCGAGAAACGCGAGCGACCGCGAACGATGACGACCAACGACAACGACGACGACGAAGATGACGACGACGACGACGACAGCGACGACGACGGCGACCGACAACAAAAAGCGACCACGACGACGACGACGACCACGACGACGACCGACCACGAAGAGCAACGAGCAGTTGTGTCGAGCACGTGCCTGCGAAGGCGTCGTTGCGTTCACGCGTCGTATAAGAGGTGCGCCCCTTACCCCCCTCCTCCATCCTCGTCGTCGTCGTCGTCGTTGTCGTCGTCGTCGCCCTCTTCCTCTGGTTGCCCTCCACCCTGCGAGCAGCGCAAGTGCGCGGGGGCGCTGCAACTTGCCCGCGACCGCCGCCCCTATGCGGATCCCCGCGCCGATCCCAATGAAGAACCCGATGCAGATCCCTGCGAGGACCTATAGAACGGCGACGGGGCCCCAACGCGGGCCCACTTGCGGATCCCAACAGATATCTCTGCGCCATCCCCGCGCGGGTCGGATGCCCGGGCGGATCCCGATCGGGTTTCCTGCGGGCCCCTACGCGCGCAGCGGCAGTTCCGGGGGCGCACTGGGGACCAGGGCGCCGCGCTGCGGGGGGGCGGGGGCGGGGGGGGCCATGCGCGCGTTATGGCCGGAGCAAAGCAATATGGAAGAGCTGCGCTCATATTTGTCAGCGGCTTGTCGCGCCCTGCGCGGCGCGTGATGTCAACGCGCGATTGTGCGCAGCTTGCGCTTGCAAGTCCCGAGCGTCCAGCGTCGCGCTGGGGCCCCCGTTCTGGTCCGCGGCGCCTCGCGCCCCCCCCCCCGCCGCCTCCGCCCCTGCCCCTGCCCCCCGAGGCATCTCTTCGGCGCGACCCTAGCGCGTCGCAGCCCTGCGGGGGGCTCCACTGGTGGCCCGATGGCCCTGGCGGGCGCGCGCCCACGCGGCCGCCGGCGCCCGTCGCGCCGCAGACCCAGGGCGCTCCGCGGCCCCAGTGGGCGCTCGACCGAAGACACCGCTGCGCGCGTTCACGCGCAGCCCCCCCGCCTTTTCCGGCGCCCATTCCACGCGCGTCGCGGCCCCGCGGGGGGCCCCACCTAAAGCCCCAAACGGCGCGACCGCGCGCGGCCCCATCGACAGCGCCAGCGCGTTCCCCGCGCGCGCCGCGGCCTCGTTGGGGGCCCCGCCCAGAGCCCGCGCGGGCGCGCCCTCGCGCGCGCCCCGCCTACATGGGCGCGCCCCCCCGCGCTTCGCGGCCCCGCTGGAAGCCCCGCCCATGGCCCCCGGGGCCGGCGAAGGCCGAAAGCAATTGTGGCCACGTAAGGAGGCCCCGCGCGAGCCCCGGGACCGTTCGCGCACGGGCCCTCCATCCACCCGCCCCTGCCCCCCCCCGCGAAACGTTCCGCGACCCCGCGGGTGGCCCATCAAAGCCGCGGCGGGCGTGGACGCACGCCCCCCTGCGCCCGTTTTTCGCGCGCCCCTTGCGAATGGCCGGGGGGCTGAGCCAGGGTGGAGACGTGTTTTGGAGCCAGCACGGCCAAACGAAGTTGCGCCAATCAGACAGGGCCGACGGATGAGCAGCAACATGTCGAACACTAGTTAATTGGCACGAGCGGTTTCAGGCATCGGATATCGCAAAGCCCAATCCGAAGCACGCGCACGCCGCGGCGCCGCCGCGCAGCGACGCATCAAACGGCTCGCGGCGAGACGCAAATCCATGAAATCACGCGCACCGCGCTGCGCGCGTCAAGCACGGCAGCCCGCCACGCCTCCCTGCCCGGAAACTGACTGGACCTGAGCGCGGCGCGCGAGGCGCGCGCCCCGCCTTGCGCGGACACGGACGGCGCAGGCGGCACAGGCAGGAATTTGCTTCCAAATGTGGCCCACTCCCCGAATACGAGACCGCATTGCGCGGAGAAGGGCGCGAATGCCAGGAACCAGGGAAACGCGATCGATTTCGCACGCCGGCGAATGCCGTTCGCGCTGGCGCCGCAACTTCAGAAAGCCGTGGCTCGATGAGCCGCGTCAACGTCCACGCTGCCGCGGCTTTGAAATCGTTCGGTTGCGGTGTGGCGATGCCGTTGTCGTCGACAACGGTGCGCGCGCAGCGCGGCGCACTAATTCCATGTGCCCCGCTCAATACCAAATCACTCCGCGATGCACCTCGAGACGAGCTGATAACCTCCCTTCGGCTGTGCTGCTCCATTTGCTTCGGGTTGCCGTCCGCCTTCATGGTTTCGGTTGCCTCTTTGCCCCGTTCCTCCCGCGGTGTTTGGGCAGATCTCGCAGAAAGGATTCCCGCACCACTGGTGGGACAATCTCAAGAAAGAAACGCAAGCATTTTTCGGTCCACGTTTTTGGGTGCGATGGGTTTTCCACCATGGCACGGTTCGTTTCTGTGTTGGTTGCGGTGGGAAGATCCGGGCAACTGCTCACACGCAATGTCTATTACACTGTCAGGCGAACTGGTACGCATGCCGAAAGCTCCAAACCTGAATTCGAAGTCATGGCAAGAAGGCTGCAATCCTATATGTTGTTTTCGTTGGTTTGCAATTAAACCATATGCGCCGTCAAGTTGCAGCAGCATGATACAACAACGCTACTTACCGATACCACCAAAGCGAGGAGGATGACCAAGATGATCCTCAAATCTGAAAATGTTATTCAGAAGTGCATATGTATGTACAGTGAACATTTGGTTGCGTCTCTTTCCCATTCTCTTTGTCTCTGTTTCTCTCTCTCCCTCTCTCGCTCTAATTATCCTCAATCCTGTGGGTGCCCATCCTCCCTTTGTCTGTGTCTTTTCGTTCGTTCGTTGGGCAGGAAAAAAACCAAAGCGAGGTATGACAGCCGCCCGCGTCCAAATGCAGCGAGAAGCAGAGGGAGAACAGGCGAAAGAGGGGCTCCGGCGCCAGAGGACAGGGAGTAGCTGACGCCCGCAACGTACGCGTCGTAAGCGTACTCCATCAACGCCTCCACCCCGATCGCCACGCTGGGAAGTGGGACGAGGGGACAGGAAGGGAATCAAAGGGAACGCTGGTGGACCGCAACTCCCTGTCCTTTTCCTTCTTCTACGGCACCTCATCTCCTTCATCATGTTTCGCCTCCCCCTTTATTCTCTTTCACTACTTCATCTTCCTCATCATGTTCCGCCTCCACCTCCTTCTCCTCCTCCTCCTCCTCTTCCTCCTCCTCAGAATCACCATCACCATCGGCGATCGTTGCCCTTGGTAGGAAATCGAATGGTCATGTATATGCAGACAACCCTTCCGGTGCGAGCGCGTCGAGCAAGCAGCAAGCAAGCAGCAAGCACCATCACCACCACCACCATCACCATCATTAACATGACCGTCAGGTTCAACAGCATCGTCATCATCAGCAGCATCATCATCACCACCACCAAAATCATCATCATCATCATCATCATCACCATCATCATCATCAGCATCGTCATCATCATCATCAACAACATCCGCATCACCTCTTATCGTCCTCGGAATAAGCCACACTCTCGACCGCCTCCGCATCCGCATTCTCATCCTCATCCTCCGTCTCCTTCTCCACCTGCTACTCCCCCCCGTCCTCTTCCTCCTCCTCGTCCTCCCCCTCCTCCTCCTGGTCGTTACCCTCGTACTCCTCCACCTCATATGCCTCCTCCGCCTCGCTATCACCATCACCATCATAAACAACAACATCACCATACTCAGCAGCAGCAGGAGAGCCCAGGTTCGATTCGAGAGGTCGAATCGGCAATCGAATTAAATCATATCGGCGGAAATCGGCAAGCGAGCCGGGAGAAATCGAATCGACAGAGGTCGGCAAGCTAGTAGGCCTCCATTGATAAGCCGGAATTCAAATCGGGATCCGACGTGGCATCGAATCGGACTCGGAACCCATCGAAATCGAATCGACTGGCATCGAAGGAGTCGAAATGAGCCCTGAAGCAGCAGCGTCTTAATCATCAGCATCACAATCGTCGACACGATCACCACTACATCCACCGTAATCACCACCACAATCACCATCAACAACATCATTAGCAGCAGCAACAGCATCAGCAGCAGCATCGTCGTCATCAGCATCAAGCTCGTCGTCATTACCAGAATGCATCCTCGTCCTCGTCCTCGTACAGACAACGGACACAGCGCCTCGGCAACGATCTTGCACCAAAGCTCGGCGCAGAGGCAGTTGTGCAAGGAGCTCCTTCCCCGCGAATCGAGCGGAGATCGAGGCGAACATCAAAAAGACGGGGAGGAGCAGGAGGAGAAGGAGGAGGAGGGGAAAAAGGACCAGCGGAAGAGGACTGGGAGGAGGGGGAGCAGGATAATCAGGCAGGAGGAGCTGGTGGAGCAGGAAGACGAGAAGCCTTTTCCTCCTCTCCTCCCCCTCCTCCTTCTACTCCCCCTCCTCCTGGTGTCAGCGACGCTGGCATGCAATTCTCCTGCCAAGATCGTGCACCCTTGGAAAGTAAATATGATACTCCTGCTTCCCATCATCCTCTTCGGGCTCGGGGTCAGACAGAACAAGGGAAGGAACACAGTGCAGACGATGCGGGATAATCATAGACAGCTTTTGACTATGTACGTAGAGCAAAAGAGAGTAAAGAACAGCGGAAGCTAGTGAAATACGCAGATTTGGAAAAATGTGGGATGGTACAGTCGCGTGGTGGAGTTCAAAGGAACACGAGAACGAGGGGGCAAAGGACAGGAAGATATCATTGAACACTGGATGCGTAGATATGTCGCTGCTACTGTTGCTGTCGCGCCCCCCCTTTCGGGATGGCGAAGCTTGGTCGGACAAGGACGGGAAGCGCAGCTTGAGTCCAATTGGCTTATGCGAATAAGATGAATATCGTATAATAATATATTAAGACAAATGAAAACAATAGTAAGACAAGAAAGGCGAGGGCGACGAGAAGGCGATGAAGAGGACGAGGTGGAGAACGTGAGAGTAGCGAGGAGGAGCATAGGGCCAACGAGGAGGAAGAGAAGCACAAGGACGAGGACGAAGAGAACGAGGGCGAGCACGAGGAGGAATGCGGAGGACGATGAAACGACGACGACGACGACGACGACGACGACGACGACGACGACGACGACGACGACGACGACGGGGGAATCAAGAGCGGGTCCTGGTAACCCTATCAGGCTAGGGTTGTCTTGAGGCCTGTTGGGGGCGTCTTGGGGGCCTCTTGGGTCCTCTTGTGAGTTTCTGGGGTTTTCTTGGGCTGCCTGGGCGCGTCGTGGGGTTCTTTGGGAGCTTTCTTGGGCCGTTTGGGGATCTCCCGGGCGCTCCAGGGAGTCTCTTGGGGCCCTCCTGGAATAACGTTGGGGCCGGGTAGGACTTGGGAATTGGAAAAGGGGTTTGACGGAAAGCGCTAGGGTTAGGAAGGATTTGGGAGTTTGGGGGAACTTTACATGGGAAGCGCTGGGGCAGGGAAAGATTCTGGCGCGGGGGAAGATTTTGCAGGGAGCGCGCTAGGGCGGGGAAGGACTCCGGAGCCAGGGGGGATTTCAATGGAAATCGCTTAGCATGGGAATAGTTTGGGAGTTAGGGCCGGTTCTAAAGGGCGCGCGCTGGGGTCGAGGAGAATCTGGGACTTGGCAGCATTTTGCATGGAATACGCTGGGTTTGAAACGAACGTCGGAGTTGGGGCGGTTTTTCAATGTACAGCGCGGGTTTTGGGAAGGAATTTGGACATCGGAAAGGCTTTCAATTGAAAGCGCTTGAGTTGAGAAGGGTTCTGGGGTGATGGGGATGTTAAATGGGAGGCGCTAGGGTTTGGAAGGGTATTTGGAGTCGGGAGGGAATTTGAATCGAACGCGCCAGGCTTGGGATGGATTTTGCAGTTGGGCGAGATGCTTATGGACGGCGCCGAGGTTGGGGCGGACTCTGGCGCTGGGAAAAGCTTAACTAGTTGAAAGCGCTGGGGCCGGGAAGGAGATTTGGCGCTCGGAAGGAAAAAAAAGAAATCGCAGAGTTTGAAACGAATTTTGGAGCTTGGAAGGGTTCAAAATTGAAAGCGCAAGGGGGCTTGGGCAGATTTCTGGCATTGGGAGAGATGGGGGTCGCCGGGGCTGGGCAAGATTTGCGAACAAGGAGAAATGTTTGATGGAAACCGCCAGGGTTGGGAAGGGATTTCGACTTGGGGAAGGTTCAGAATGGGCGCCTCTCGGGTTGGGGGGTGTCTTGGCGCCAGGGAGGATCTGCCCGGAAACGCGCCAGGGCGGGGGAGGACTTTGGAGCTGGGTGGACGGGAAACTCTGAGGTTGGGGAAGATTTTGGAGGCGATGCGGGTTTCAGAGGCACGCACTGGGGTCGGGGAAGATTTGAGAATCGGGGGGGGGGGGTGCGCGGAACGCGCCAGGGTTGGGAAGGACGCTGGAGTTGGGGAAGTTTTCTACATGGACAACGCTGGGATTGCATGGATTCGGGCGCGGGGAAGGACTTACAGCGGGTTGGGAAGGGAAGGTTTGGGAAGGGCTTCGGGGCCATGGTGGATTTTGAATAGGAAGCGCGAGGCCTGGGAATTATGCTTGGGCTTGAGAGGGGGGTTGCAGGGGAAGTGCTGGTTCGGGGAACGATTCTGGAGTTGGGGCGGACGTAAATGGGGGGCGCTGGAGTTCGGCCAGACGTGGGGGTTCGGGCGCATCAAATTTGGAAGCGCAAAGGATGGAAAGGTTTCTGGAGTTGGGAAGGGCATGTCATGGAAAGCGCTGGGCTTGAGAAGGGATTCGGGGTTGGGGATGATTTAATATGGAAGAAAACGCCGCGCGCGGGGCAAATTTGTGAAGCTGGGACGAAACGTTACATTGAATCGCCGGAGTTGGGAAGGACTCGGGAGTTGCGGGGGATTCGGCGCGGCAAGATTTTGAAATTCCAGGGGGCTCTACACGCAGAGCGCGGGGCACGGTGGTGGCTTTGGGATTGGGGGGGTGTCGCGTGGAAATCGCCGACGTCGGGAAGGGCCCTGGAATTGAGGATGATCTTACGTAAGGATTCGAACTTGAAACAAGCTGGGGTTGGGAAGGATTCTGGCATTGGGGGATACTGTTGTCGGAGAGCTCTGAGATTGGGACAGATGCTGGAGTTGGGATGGGCGTCGAATGGGACAAGCATGGGCGGGGTTGGGAACAAGTTCCAAGGGAACGCGCTGGGGTTGGGAAGGACTTTGAACTGGGGGGATCTAAAAATAATGAGGGCAGGGCTGGGCGCGCGGGAAGTATTTGAGTTGCGTTGGACTTGCGCCTTCCACTTGAAACCCTTCCCAACTCGAGAATCCCCCACCCCGGCGCTTTCCATTCACGTCCCTCCCCAACTCCAGAATCTCCCCAATCCCCAGCGCCTTCCACTGACCCCCTCCCCAGCCCCAACGTTTTCCCGCGAATCATTCCCAGCTCCAATCCCCCCAAACACAAGCGCTTCCCGCTTAAAGCCGTCCCAACTCCCAGCCCCCCCAACCCCAGCGCCATCCACATTAAATCCCTCCCATCTCCATCATGCTTGCGAGCCCCAGCGCTTCCCACTAGAAACCAGCTTCAAAGGCCCCCACGACGCCGCCCCCCGACCCCGACGCGCTCCATTCAAAAACCCCCGCTTCAAGTCCCACCGCCGCCCGCCAACCCCAGCGCGCCCACTCGAAATGCACCCCAACTCCCAAGCCCCTCCGAGGCCCGGCGCGTTGCATGCAAAGCCCGTCTCAAATCCCAAAACCTGCCCTGCCCCAGCGCTCTCCGCCCCAAATCCTTCCGAACTCCCAAGCCCTCCCCAACCCGAGAGCCTTCCATCTGATCCTCCCCGACAATCCCCCCCCGCAGCGCCAGCGCTCTCCACCTAAGCCCCCCAAACTCCACAGCCCCCCCAACCTCGGCGCTTTCCACTTTCAATCCCCCCCATCTCCAACATCCCCCCAGCCCCCGGCGCTGCCCGCTCAAAATCCCCCCTCCCGGCCCCGGCGCTGCCCATGAAGAACCCTCCTCAAATCCACGATCCCCCCGAGCCCGGCGCGATCCACGAAAGCCCTTTTCTCAAACGCAAAGTGGCCCCCATGCGCTCCGACTCCACAGTTCTGCCCAACCCCAGCGCGTTCTACTTCCAACTCTCCCCGACTTCAAAACCCCCCCAACGCTGGCGCGTTCCATTCCCCATTCCCACCAACTCCAAAAACCTTCCAAACCCGAGTGCAGTCCTTGCAAAAGCCACCCCACATCCACGTGAACTCCAAAAATCATTCTCAACCCAAACGCCCCACATATAGAACCACTTCCCAAACCCCCGACCCCCCCCATCGCCGTTGAACCCCCCCCCGACCCGGAAAAACTTGCCAGCCTCTGAGCATTCCATTTCAAATCCTCCCCCCGAAATCCCCCCCAACCCCGGCGCCCGTCATTCGACGCCCCCCCAACTCGGCAACTGGCCCCAAACCCAGCGCGTTCAATGTATAAGCCTTCCCAACCCCAAGACCCTTCCCACGCCCCAGCGCTTGCCACTTAGAACCCGCCCGAGCTCCAATATCCACCCCAACCCTGGCGCCTTCCATTTCAAATCTGCCCCTACTCCCCAACCCTGGCGCATCCCATGTAACGCCCCCCATCCCCCGCCCCACTCCACAGCCCTTCCCAAAACCAGCGCCGCGCATCAAACATCCCCCCAACTCCCAAATCGACCCCAATCCCAGCGCGTTCCCCGCCCCCCCCGCTCCCAGCTCCCAAGCGCCCCAAAACCCAGCGCTTCACTTGTAAAATCTCCTCCAAACCCCAAAACCCCTTCGCTTTCAAATGCCAATCCTCCTCAACTCATCTCCCTCATCCTCCGGCGGCTTCATTCAAAAGCAACCTAAACTCTAAAATCGTTCCCAACCCGAGCGCTTTCCATATCAAACGCCCCGAACTCCAAAGTACCACCCCGCCCCAGCGCGCCGCGCGCAAAAACCATTGCAAACTTCCAAAACCCTGCCCTGCCCAAGTGTTCCACTTTGCTTTGAATCCATCCCAACGACAGAAAGACCCCGTTCACACCAAGCGCTTCCCATTTGAATCCCCCACAACTCTCAAATCCCCCCCCCCAGCCCCGGCGCATTCCACTCCGAGCCCCACATCCTGTCCCCAGCACCAGCGCTCTCCAATATACGTCCTCCCCGACTCCAGAATCCTCCCTATGCCCGGCGCTCTCCATATAAAATCCTCCCCAACTCTGGAATCCTCATCAACCCCGGCGCTTCGCACTCGAAATCTCTCGCAAATCTGGAAACCTCCCCAACGCCGACGATTGCCCATTCCAAACCTTCCCCACCTGGAAAAGCCCCCCCAAACCCGAGCGTTTTATCTTCGAAACCCTTCCCAACTCGAAAATCCGCTCCAACCCCGAAGCTTCCCGCTGACAGCCATTCCCAATTCCCAGCTCCTTCAGACCCCGGAACGCTCCATGTCAAACCCCTCTCAACTCCAAAGTGCTTCTCCGAGTCGCACGCCTTCAACTTGCAATCCTTCCCGACCCCAAGAAGGTTCCCCTTCACATGACCACAATTTGCCAACCCTGACGATCCCCCATCGAAAAACCCACCCCAACTCCAAAACCCCCAACCCACCAGCGCTTTCGATTAAAAGCGCTTCCCAACTCCCAAATCTTTCCTAACGCCAGCGCCTTCGACTTAAAATCCTTCCGAACTCCAGAATCCTTTCCAGACTCCGCGCTGTCCACTCAAAACCCCTCCCAAACCCCGGCGCTTTCGACTTAAATAATCCCCAACGCCAGCGCTCTGCATGTAAAGAACCCCAACCCCGAAATCCGTTCCAACCCTGCCGGTATACTCGCCAACCTCAGCTCTAAATCGAAACACAAACTAATTTCGTGCCCTCCGACGGAGCCACAAAACAACTCGGGAACGTACGCAATAAACAACGCGCGCCCTCTCCATATGAGACTCGCTCCCGGCGCATTTGAATTTGCCCTACTTCAGCCGAGCACTTAGTGTACCATAACGCGAATTGTTTGTTTGTGCATGGGTGACTGCGAATGGCGAAAGTAACGCGCGTTAGGCTTTCCGATTAAATGATTTAGCTCTGTGCTGGCGGGGCCGACCCCTGTTGCGCAGGGGGGCCTGCAACTGCTAAAAGACAGATCCCTCCACCAATCCACCATAGTAGGCGAAGCGACGCCCGTAGAAAGACAGGGGCGTGCTGTAGGTGAAACAAGGTGGTGAGAAAAGGTAGAGCGCGACGCAGAATGTGAAGCAAGAGATTGGGTAACGAGACAAGTGGGCATCATGGCCATGTCAACCGATACACAACAGAGAGCAAGCAAATGTAAGAAGAGATAGGCGACAGACGCATCAGGAACCTCGTCACGCGGTAAGGTGTATTCTGAAAGCCGTTGATGTGGAAGGCTCGAGGTCGTAGACAATCCCATGTATCCTCCGTATCTGTGCAGTATGTGGGAGGCCATCCTCGTGGATGCAGTCGTACTGGTAGAATTGAGGGTTTCGTCGGAACCAATGCTCTACCCCTAATATAGTATTCACCGTCTGCCTGACGGTTCGGAAACCCTGGTTTCGGTGTTGGTGGAGATGTGTGGTCTGGTGTTTAGGCTTGGGCATAGTTGGTGCTGTCATTGCTGTCGTAGCTTCGCGTCGTTGCTGTAATCCTGCGTTGCGTGTGTTGCACTGTCGTACTGGTTCCAGATACAATTAGTACTGCTGCTGGTGGCCCCGAATCTTGCCCAAGTTGTCCTCCTCCTCCTCCTCCTCCTCCTCCTCATCTTCCTCCTGCTCCAACTCCACTCCTCCTTCTCTTCTCCCCCTGGAGCGAGGAGGCGGCAAAGAGGAAAGGCGAAGAGGACGAGGGCGAGAGAGGGGAAAGAGCAGAGGCGAGGAGCAGGAGGATCAGGAAGGGGTAGATGATGTGAAAAGAAAAAGAAGAAGGGAGAGGAGGCAGGAGGAAGAGGAGAGGAGAGAGGGGAGAGGAGGGGGAGAACGAAGGAAGGGAAGAGGATGACAGGGGAGTGGGGGTGGAGGGGGAGGATGGTGGAGGGGGAAACGACGACCCCCACTCCTCCTCTTCCTCCCCATGCAGGCCCCCTTCCCACTGGCCCTCCTGCATCCCGATCCCCTCGCTCATTGGGAACGGCGTGTAGATCACGAATGAGATGCTCGCCTGCTGGACTGATGGGGCGGGAGGTCGGCTCCGAGGTGGGGCGAAGGCCACAGAAGAAGAAGACAGGACGGCGGATGATGAAGCGGGAGGGGCAGGAAACTACTAGGAGGACCAGAATGAGAAGGAGACCACCAAGAGGATAGTGAGGAAAGATGACGAGGAACAAGCGGAGGTGGAGGAGGACCGGGAAGGGAGGAAGAGTTAAACCTAGGACTGGGAGCAGGCGGCGCCTCCTCCTCCTCCGCCTCTTTCACTGCCCCTCCCTCCTCCTCCTCCTCCTCCTCCTCCGCCTTTTTCGCTACCCCTCCCTCCTCCTCGTCATCCTCCTCCTTCTCCTCGTCATCCTCCCTGTCCCCTCCACGGCAAGGACGAAAGACCGAAACCAACCTTCTCGTTGTGAGAGGGGGGCTCGCCCGGGCAAGCCACCTCTCCGAACTGACGAGGAATTGGTTGCCACTCCTTCCGACCTCGCCTTTCTGTCCCCCACCCCATCCTCCTTCCAAATCCTGCCCAGGGAAAGGGGCCAGAGGCAGAGGGACGAGATGGATGAGGACAACGAGGTGGAGGACTTAGAAGGTCGAGGGAGGAATTAGGAAAGAGGAGAAGGCAGAAGCAGGAGGAGAGGAAGGAGGAAGATGTAATGAGGAAGGAATAGCAAGGATAACAACTCCACGGGCCCAACTCCACCGTGGCTGGCACGAGGAGGAGGAGAAGGTGGAGGAGTTGAGGGAGTAGCAGGACGTGGAGGAGGATAGCAGGCCGTAGACGAGGAGGAGATGGGGTTGGAGGAGGAGGAGGATGAGGAGTAGGAGAAGGAGCTGAGTGAGAGGAGTAGGAGGACGTGTAGAAGGAGGACGTGGAGGAGGAGGCCGAGGGCAAGGACGAGAGGCAGCAGCTGCAGGAAGACGAGCGGCGGAAGCAGCGGCGGGAGCGCCCGCCTTGGGCTGGCGGAAGACATCGTCCTGCCTGTGGTAGATACGGGCCACGGGCGCCAGGCCGTCGGTCGGGAGCAGCACCGGCTTCTTGGGCACCCCTCCTCGGTCGCTCCGACGTCATCCTCCTCCCCCTCCTCCTATCCATCCTCGTGCCCCTTCCTTCTCCTCCTCCTCCTCCTCCTCCTCCTCCTCCTCCTCCTCCTCCTCCTCCTCCTCATCATCATCATCATCATCATCATCATCATCATCATCATCATCATCATCATCATCATCATCATCATCATCATCATCATCCTCATCCTCGTCCTGCTCCTCCTCCACAACCGTCTCCACCACATCCCCCTCCTCCTCCTCCTCCTCCTCCTCCTCCTCCTCCTCTTCCTTGCCGTCGACACGGTCGGCCTTCTCCAACTCCATCATCATCAGCATTATCATCCTCCTCCCCCGTCCGTCTCCCTTCTCCTCGTCCCCATCCATCCTCCTCGTCCTCCTTGGACAAGCCCCCTGCGGGTCCGAAGGAAACAACGGAAAAAAAATAATTGAGAGAGGGAGGGAGGAGGAGACCCACGCCAGCTGAAGGTGCCACCAGATTCGCACGCAACAGAAACACAAACATCAAAGGCCTTCATTCGAGAGGGCATGATCCTCGCGCTATCTCCGGTCAAGGACCCGTTGCCCAAGCTCTTCGGCCTGGGCTCGGGAGGAGAACCCAAACAGCGCGAGTCCTCGGGTGAGGCCAACACTCACCCGCGCCACCGCGGGGGCAGGTCCAAGGGCAGGCACTGCTTCCCGGCCCGAGCTGTGAGGCCAAGAAGGTGCGAGATTCGTCGGAGAGCGAGCTCGCTACACCAACACGGCACCCTATGCGGGGAGGGCGTTTGCCTGTCAAAATCCAAGCCAAATGCCTCCCGCGGCCAGGGGAGCGGGACCCAAGGTAATCCGGCACGAGAGCACTGCGTCCCCAGGAGCTCCCCGCATGGCCGACAGACCCGCAGGTGGTGCAGAAGACCAAGGGGCCCAGAGGGGCCCCAGTCGGGGAGGCACCAGGGGCCTCAACACACGAGTGGCGTGTGGCATTCCACGGCCTGAGGGGGGGCCACGCCACTTTCCCAGGAGGGGGCGGGGGGACAGGGCAGGGAAACATCTCACCAGCGCCGTCCCGACCCGCCGTCCAGCACTTCTCCCCCCCCCAGGACAGACGACGCACCAACAGACGACGAACCCGCCCCACCACCGTCGCCGCCAGTGTTGTCGAAGTCGGGCGGCAGTTCAAAAATGCCGAGGTCGACATAGCGAAGCCAATCGAGGGGAACATGGTCGAACACCCCCAAGTCGGCGATCATGAGGTGGATGAGGAGGAGGAGGAGGAGGAGTAGGAGGAGGAGGAGGAGGGGGAGAGGAGGAGTGGAGGAGGAGGAGCGGGAATCATGTAAATGCTAGCATTGATCACTAACACGTGGATGCGGGTTCGTAGTTCGTGGGCGAGGGCGAGCTAATCAACCATAGTGAACTCTTTGGATTGACGATTCTACGCAGAAGTGGTTGCGTGAGTGAACGCTCGGAGGAATCTCATATATATAGAAAGCTGGCGAGGCTCACATGCAGCAGTCTCGAAAAAGGAGGGGCCCCTGTCCTGGATGCGTGTGAAGCTGGGTGGATGCACTGCTTCCGTAGATTGGTGAGACAGCACTGGCTCCCATCGAGGGCGCCCTGATAACTTAGAATTACCCTCGGGGGCGAATCAGGAATCAACGATTGCGCTTGCACAATGTTGTGCCACACGTCGTGAAATTGATGAGCAGCGTGGATTCGCATAAAGCAAGCATGCCTCGAACACACATCAGACGTAACTATCTCCGAAGTGTTTGTGCAACCTACTACACTGAACCAGCGGCGACCTCATGCTCAGAGCGCAGGCTGTGCTTTGGAACCACTGGCCACCTGGCAAAAGCGGCGCGGCTGTCTGCTCGTGGTTGGCCTCGCCGAAAAAGGAAGATCCTGCGGAGTCGAGCGCGCTGCCTGGCTGTCGCAATCGTGCCACAGGTGGCCGTAGGTCGCGTTGGAGGCCTCGCCCAGTGGACAGCTCGTGAACCCCGGTATCTGCGGACAGCGTGCTGCAGGAGCCATCACCGCCCCTGCCCAGACAGCTCTGATAGCACCCCAGCCGGCACGATACCACAAATGCTCCTACCCATGACCTCGGGGATATGGTCCCGAATTCGGCTGCACTGTCATCGCTGCGCGCCTTCCGTGGCCCTGTCGCGGATCTTCTTGGGCGCGCAGACCGCGTGAGGCGAGGTCACGGAGGCCCTGGATCTGCAACCCGCTGACTAGCTCGCAACCGATCCTGCGCCGCGTGCCCACGGCCCCATGCACAAGGCCCAGCTCGCATCAGCAGCCGGACGCTCTCGGGCTGCAGCCCAGGCATGGCACAGCTGGCTACATGGGACCATCCCGTCCCACTGCCACGACGCGTAGCGCTCCACGAGATCGGCCGTCGAGTCGCACATCAGGCCCATGTACGCCTACGTGGCGCGGTAGCACGTGGGCGACTTGCCCATTCGGCGGACTGCGGTCACCCGATCTCCACACCAATCAGGGCCAGCAAGTTGGCCAGCGCCTCACCCGAGATGCCCGGAACGCCCGCGCCATGGCTCGCAGAGGCGTAGACCCCAGCTCGCCAGAGGACCAAGGCCTCGGCACCGGCTCCCTACCTGAGAGGTCGAAGGCGGGACTCGCACCCACGCACCCGTACGAAACGCTCAGCATCCACAGATCAGAGAACCCTCGAGCCGAACAGCTCGTCGCCCTAAAATCCTGGCGTGGCGTGGGCTTCGAGTCGAGCCTACTGAAGCGCTTCTCCAGAGGCCGCTGCTCCACGACCGAGGCGGCCACGAGAACTGGTTCTCGGCCTGGCGAGAAGGGCCGAGTTCCTGGATGCGCTTGGGCAGGAAGACGGCGGCCTGCCACAGCGCGCACGCCTTCTCGGCATGCAACACCCTGCCACTGGAGAGAGACGCGTCGTCCATCAGAACCGTCGGCATGCTGGTGTCCGTGCAGCTGCGGTACCTTGAGCATGAGAAGGTGAGAAGAAGAAACAACATGTGAACGTAGACTTTCTGAACTCCCCACGGGGCTCCGAAAATGTTTGTGTGTGCCGTTCTGCCTGTTTCGAAAAGAAGATCGTCGCATGAATGACTGCACAACCGAAAATATTATTTCTGGCAAATGCGCACGATCTCGGACTGGCTGCCGACTGCCCTGGTGAACCTCGGCCAGGTGCACTGCATCAACACACACCACATCTGATGAAGGTGAGATACCACTGCTCGGGCTTTCCTTGGCGGGGCATCGTGCTGGATGGTTTCGTAAGCAAATGGCCATGTCCATATAGAACTCCAAAATGGGGTCCGAGCAAGTGGGGTCGGAAGTTCGCGCCGCATCGCCGGTACATCGGCGATACATCGGTGGCGTCGACGGTACGTCGGCGCCGTCTGCACGGAGAAAATCGGGCTCCGCATCGAGCCGCATCGCCGATGCGGCGCGATCCTCCGACCCCATCTACCCATGCCCCATTTGGAGGCTTGGAGTCCAGCGGAACCGTTGCGTCATGCTGCCTGGTCATCCTGGCCGACTCCGCCGTCAACTCCTGTCGAGGACGCTACCCGAGGTCCTGACACTACCACGCGCCCCAAAAGGCGTCGTCCGCGTGCTCGGCAGCCCACTTGAGTGGGAGGTTCTGGCCTCATCACTCGTCCTCCAGTCCCTCTGGCCCTCTTCCAACTCCTCCAAGCCACCCCTCTCCTAATCCTAATCCTCTTGTTCCTCCTCCCCGTTCTTCTGTAGGGAGAAGGCCCTCAGGCCATCCTCATCTCGTCGTTTCGAGCGCCCTTTCAGGCACAATCTCCACTCCCATCCACCCTCATCCTCCGGTCCTCCGTAAGAGCCCATTTGGGGAGACGTAAGACTCAGGTTCGGGGGGCACGGGTAGGCCTGACAGTGCCGTCAGGAAAATGACGAGACCCCATCAGAAATTTCCACTGCACACAACCCACGAAACCTAAACCCTCAAAACTCAAGACGAGCCCGTCAAAACGCGCCAACGAACCTGAGGCCGGAAAACTCGAGTCTTACCGTTTATCCAACGCCCCCCCCCGAAAGTTAGAGGTCGCGGGGGGGGGGGGGCAACGTTGTTTCAGGGGCCAGATGCTAGTCATCTCGGCCGGCGCGCTTGATCCGCCAATAGCAATCCCAAGAAGCTCGGATCTTAGGCCTGCTTTTACCGACGACTGGGCTGCCTCGGCTTGCTCTGACCCTTCGAGCACTGCACCCTCATCCGCCGCCACGGAGACACGGATCGCGTCCGCTGACCCTCGGCGACCCTGTATCCGAGAACACCCCACGTCCTTCCGGCAACGGCTTCACGGACAGGTCTTCCGCGATGAACGGGTTCGGGTCTGGCAGCTTCAGGCCGAGGGCGGCGGCCGCGTCCACGGCCTGCCCGTGCACACGGCCCGCCCCCCGGCCCTCCGGGCCTCCAGACGGGTTCGGGGGAGCGGGGCAGGCAGAGGTAGAAGCAGAGGGAGGGGAAATGGAGGAAGAAAGAAGAGGCTCCTCCCTGCTCCTCCCCCTCCGCGTCCTGCTCCTCTCCTGCTTCCTTTGCAACCAGTCCGTCAAATCTTTCCTCGGAGGTCGGCGGACTGGCGCAGGCCTCTCGAACAGAGGAAGAACGAACGATCTCAGCCGCCGCGGGCAGAAGCGGCGTCCCTGCAAGGGAGGCGGGCGCGCCTCTAGCAAGCAGGCCTTCTACGAAGACGGGTAGACGATGGTAGACGACTGGAGAAGGCGGGCAAGGACAGAACAACTTCCACCCTGCCCTCCTCTTCGTCCGCGCTCTCTGCGTCCGCCGCGCATCAAGGAGGAGGAGGAGGAGGAGCAGGAGGAGGAGGAGGAGGAGGAGCACGAGGGGGACGGCTGGGGACAATGAGCAGGAAAGTCAGGAAGAAGAGGATGAGAAGAAAAACAGTTATCAGCCTCCAACCCCACCTTCATCATCATTTCCAAGATCCTCTTGTTGTTGCCCATCCTTCTCACTCCTCTCCATCCAGATGGTAGGGGCAGGCGAAAGGGGGAGGCGAATATACGCACCCCCATGGGAGATCTCGTGGGTCCCCGCTGGGCTGGCCATTGCGCCCACAGGCCTCCTCATCCTGTCCTGCGATCCGAAAGTCGCGATAAATTGCAACGTGGCAGAAACTCTCGACAAGAACCCTGGACCCGATCGTTGTGTCCTCCTCCCCCCTCGAACCCCCTCCCCCCTCGAACCTCCCCTCTTCGAAGCACCCCCTCCCTCCTCGGGTCCCCCCCCTCCCCCTCGTCGAACCTGCTCCTCTCCCCCCCCCCATGACGGGGGGGCCTCCTCCGCGGTGCGGCTGGCGGGCCCGATGGCCTGCGCCGCCGCCGCGGCGCGGGGGCGAGCGGGGGCGAGCGGGCGCGGAGCGGCAGACGACGGGGGGCAGGAGGGCCGAGGAGCGGCGATGGGGGAGAACTGGGAGGCAACTCCAGGGAGGCAACTCCAGGGAGGCTATCACGGTTAGCGGCGGAGAGATGGCGTGCATCACTAATCTCCGCAAAGCACGCTATCCCTGTGAGGCGATTCCCCGCGGAGGCCCCTTCTGTGCACGCCAGCCCCCTTGCCAGGGCTTCGTCGGTGGGGGCCAACGGGCAACAAGCGGGCCAGCGGAAACGCATCGCAAGCTAAAGTCCGATTCAGGGGCCACTCGGCCGGAGAAGAGCCCGGATCGAGCCGGATTGTGCGAGACGGGGCATGTGTTGCAGCACAGACGTACCAGCGCCGCAGCGGCAGACCGAGGGAGCGGGGCGGCCGACGGTGGGGACGAGGATGGCCGAAGGGCGGCCAGGGGGGAGGGAGTGCGGAGGGGCAACGCCGCAAGAGCGCCGACGACCCACTGCCAAGGGAGGAGAGGGAGGGGAAGGCGGGGAGGAAGGCGGAAGGCAGGTTCTCTTCCTGATCTCCGCTCCTCCCTCCCTGCATGTCGCTTTTTGGGGGTGTGCCCTGTCGCTGGCTCCCATGTGGGCCGTCGCCCTCCCACCTGGGTGCTTTGAAAGAGCCTCCCGAAGGGCACGCACCCCTGTCGTGGCGGGCGGGCCTCCGGCCGACGGGTTTGGTGCCGCGGAGGGGGGACAAGGTTGGGGGTGGAGGGGGAATCGACCTGGAATCGGGGTTACATCGCGACAGACCATGGATATGTCCCCGATGGGCTACGCCGCAGCGCGGGAGGCGCGCGCTCGCGCGGGCAAGGGCGCGCAATGGCAGGCGGCGGGGGCGGACGGCCGAAGAGAGCGGAAGGGGGGGGAGCGAGTGCGGAAGAGGCGGGAAAAGCATTTTCGGCCCCGAAGGGCCCTCAATGAGCCCCCGTGACCGTCGTAAAAAATACTCGGGCAAGAACGGGGCGAGGAATGGTCGGGGCGCACGGAAAGGGGCATAGCAGAGGGGGTGTGAGAGAATCAACTCGCGCAGCTGACTTGTCCAGGCACCGCCCGGCACCAGAGGCGGCCATGCATCCACTAGGCGGCCCGGGACGACGACAATTGAATGCAACAGACTTCATATCCCCCCTTCCCGTTTCCGACCTCCCCCTCTCTCGTCCCACTCGAGATGGGAAGGAGAGGGAGAGGGAGAGGAGTCGGAGCCAGACGAACACCCAGAGATCCGATGTGTTGGTTATGTTTCCCAGATGGGCCCCAGAGCTGGCCTTGCATCATCAGTCGGTCTTCGACGGACCCGGGGCCTGGCGAGGGCCCCCAGAGGCCGCACACGACACCCAAATCCGCAGAAGATTCGTCAATACCTGGGGGGTCTGGGTGGGGCGATGCCGAGAGGCCGCCACTGAAGGCATCAGCGTTTTGAGGGAGCCGCCGGGGCCCGAGCCACCCCCTCCCCGAACTCAGCCTCGCAGGGCCGTGCGGCAGACACGGCGCCCCTGGGACCGCCCCCCTCCCTCCGCGGACGGAGCCCTCTCGCCAAACGTGGCGAGTGTGCCCGGCCTGGGGAAGGAGGAAGGGAGAGGGGGGGGGGATTTGCGTGAAATGGGGAGGAGGAGGAGGAGGAGGAGGAGGAGGAGGGGGAGGGAGGGATGCCCCGACCCAAGCAAGGCTGCCTCGCGGGGGCAGAGTAACCTTGGCTACGCTCACGTCAGAGCCTCGACCTTTGCGGCGCTCAGCGGGCCAGGGCTTAGCCACCCTCGTGGGTCGGCTGGAGAGAGGGTGTCGAATGCCTCAGGAACATCAACGGAGGCGGGCCCCTCTACCTCAGGTACCGCGTCGAGGGTGCCCTCCTGCCCCGACCCTGCGAAAGAAGCCTTGCTAGGGGAACAGATCCCAGACTACGCTCACGTGAGAGCTACGGACACGACCGCACAGAGCGGGCCTGGGAGCATTCACTGTAGCGAATCGGCTGGAGGGAAGGCGGCGATTTCCACGGAAGCGCTGGACCTGCTCTGCGCCGAGTTCGCGAGCCTCCTCGAAGAGGACTTGGGTAGCCTGTTCGACTGGGACGAGAACGAGAGGACAAAGTACGAGGGCAGGGCCGCCAACCCGACGTTCGTCGAGCAGTCAGTCTCCGTGAAAACCATAGGTCCTTTCGTCGGGGGCTGCAAACAGGAAAGGAGGTGGAGGCGCACCAGGATCCTGCTGTGGGGGATGCTACAGGCCAGGCAGAAGCTTCGCCAAGCGCAAAGGTCAAACAGGACCTCGCGGTGCTGGCAACGATGCAAACGAAACTAACTCGCATCGCGTCGAGGGACCTGGTAGGTGGCATCCACCGTGACGAGGACCGACGCTCCATGCGCCAAGCGGAGTTGGCTAAGGAGTTGAGCGGGGTAGGGGACCTCACTTTCCACGAGCTCCAGGCGCTGGCGGAGAAGTACGAGAAAGGACGCGTCGACCAGCGGACCAAGACCTGGAGGTGCTGGGAGCAAGCGGCCATCAAGGATGGCGGAGGGGCGGCCCACGGCTTCTGCAAGGCTCCCGTGGGCTGAAGTGGCTGTTCGGCAGACCAGATGGCCAGCGATGGCGCGCCAGCCGGGATCTCCTTTGACCTGCAGGGCCCCACGGAGGAGTACCAGCAGGTGTGGAGGCAAGACCAGGAGGAGTTCGACTTGGTCCAGGCCATCCCCGAGGGCCTGCTGGATGAGCCTCCCCTCCCGCCCACGCCAAGACCAGCACCGCTGTGGGGGTCGACAGCATCAAGCCAGGCCAATCTGGGTGGCTGTCGACGGAGGGACGCATCGCGCCAGGCCTCCTGCTGCACCTCATCGAGCTCACCGCGATCATACCGACGCAGGTGGAGGTGTTCATGTGTTTCCTGGCGAAGCCCGACGGGGGCTGGAGGTCCATCGGCCTGATCAGCAGCCTCATGCGACTCCTCGGCAGGATACCGCTCGGGGAGGCGCAAGCTTGACGGAAGGCTTAGAGCAGGCCCTACTTCTCCAGCGGCGTGGGCAAGTCTTGCGAGGGCGCGGTCTGGCTGCAGAGCGTCGACGCGGACCACGCGAAGGCCATGACGCTAGACCCCCTCACCCTTCTCCTCGACTTCGGCAAGGCCTACAAGAGGGTCACGCACAGAGGCACGGTGGCGGCAGCGAGGCGTGAGGGCTTCCCAGTGAGGAGGATCAAGTAAGCTCTCGCTGCTGGCAGGGTGATCGTTCGTCACGACGCTGATCAGATTCTGCTGACGGAGCCCGCGGACACCATGCTGCGAGCCTTACAATCGGTCAAGGCGTACGAGGTCGTGGACGACGTCACGCTGGTGGTCAGGAATGCCTCCTGAAGGTCCTCCGTGGTCGCCTGGCTCGCCTCCAGACGAGAACCACTAGGTACATGGCGCCCAGGAAGGCTGGAGCCCGACTCGGCAGTGTGTTCCGCACTGGCGGGCTCGCCTCAATCCTGCATGGGGCCCCTGTGCGTGGGGACCCCACCCAGCAACTTTCCAGGGCTCGAACCCAAACGGGCAGATCTGTGGCGGGAGAGGCGGGCAGGAGAAGACGTACCATCCAGTTTGCGCCGCATGAAGGTAAGGCCTAGAAGCAGGGACCCCACGTACCTGCCCACGTCCTGCCGCTGAAGGCCTGGGCCACCGCCGTCTTCTGAAAGCACAGGGCGGCATCGGTCTTCAAGACGGTTTTTCGCGAAGCAGGCAGAGCCTTGAGCAGACGTCACGGGGCCAGCGGGGGCGGTGCAGCTCACGCTGAAGCGCGTGGGATGGAGTACGGCATCATGGAATGTCTGGCTTGACGACGGCGGGGCCTGGCTGGACCTCCACGTGCTGAGCCCAAGGACACTGATCAGCCTCATCGAGGACGGAGTCTACAAGCATCTGACACGCGAGGCCACAAACCTTAATGGCTTCGAGGCGTTGCAAGGCAAGCCGCCCGACCTGGGCCAGGTACGGCACGCGCTTGCTGTGCTTTGAGCGAAGAGGCAGTCCAAGATGGTGCAGCTCCTGCGGTCCCTAATTGCTGGCGTCTTGGTCTCTCAGCTGGCGAGAGTGCCGAGACGGGCCCGAAGTGCGAGAAGTGCCAGGCATCGACCCACCACAGGCTGTTCAAGTGCGCTGGCTCGGCGACGTGGCCGAGGGACCTGGGTCTGGGGGCGGTGGATCGTGCCGGCAGAGCTGCGCCACCACACGACCCAGGGATGATCAGGGGCCTGGTCAATCTCGTTCGACGCGGCGCCGAAGCCTAGCATGACGAGCAAGCTACTGCGGGCTGGCCGAGCTCGAGACGATAGCTTCGAAGGCATCGTGTGCATCGACGGGTCGGCCACCATTCCCGCGTCTGGCGTGCTGGCGAGGACTGGCTGGTCCGCCACCATGGTGACCACTCATGGCGAGATGGTCGGAGGGATCTACGGTGAGGTGCCAGTCTGGGTCCAAGAGAGGCTACGCCGAGCTGTACACCCCGCGGATGACGCTCGATGACAAACGTATCGGCCCGCTGGAGGTGCTCACGGACTGCGAAGGCCTGTTCGACAAGTTCTCCAAATGCCAAGGGTTCTGTCGTGGTCCTCACCACAAGTATGCAGATCTCGGGGCTTGGACCTTCTGGCACGTTGCCTAGGTGGGCCAGTCGAATTGTATGGTGTGCTGGATCAGAGCTCACACCAGATAGGTGGAGGCAGTCTGGTGAGACGTGGCCTGGTACAAGCACATCGGCAACAAAGAGGCCCACAAATGAGCCAAGCCCCTTGCCAGGCTCCACCCGCAAGGCTACAGCCAGGTGCTAGAGGGCCGATGGACGACCTCCACGACTGCTGCCAAGACCCTCTGGAGGCACCATGGCGAGGTCCTAAACAGGCACGCGAATATAGGCTGGCCTGACCGAGGACATCTTCCAGAGCCGCGCGTCCTCCCCACCCCCCGCAGAGACGGCCTGATTGTGGCGAGTTCGGCGAGGGGCAACTCGATCACTCGTCTTAGAAGGTGTTGGGTGTGCGAAAATTGCGGGGCCAGAAAGGCCCTCAGGTCCAGGCTGGTCTCCGGGCTCTGCCCAGGCATACCCCAAGTAGCGGCCTCGCCACATCATTCACAGGATGTGGGTGATTCGAGAGGGGGGAAGCTCTTGGGCGGGAGGGTGCCCGTGAGAGACATGGTACGGAGATAGTCGCCTTCTGTCGTACGTGTGGGGCGTACGGCAGGAGGCAAGCCATTCTCTGACTCCAGCCTGCACGCCCATATCTCGCAAGCCGCGCACGGCGGCTCGTTTGGCCTGGGTCGCTTTGGAGAAGCTGAGAGCGGGGAAGACGCCCCAGTCGGGAAAGTTCTGGGGGTCCCTTTTTCCCCTATGCCCGCGAGCCCGTCTCAACTTGTTGAAACGTGGCCTGGAGGGCCAGGAGATTTGTTCCCCAAGCCTCTGGTTCTGACGGGCCGCTGGCTATGATCCTGCGTCCAGAAACAAGCGAGGGGCCGAAGAGGGCAGAAGGAAAGACATCATCAGAAACAACAGAGGGAGGGGTGGAGGGGAAGGAAGGACGAGGAGGGAGTGAGGATGAGGGACGAGAAAGACGAGGAGATGAAGACGACGACAAAGAGGAGGACGAGGAGGGAAAAACGGAGATGAGGTTGCTCTTCCCCTCCTTTTCCTCTTCCTCCCCCTCCTCTTCCATCTCCTCCAGATCCTGAAAAGGCGAAGAAACCGGGGAGGAATCGACAAGAAACATGCCTGTCCCTCCGACTCTTTCCCTTCCTCCCAGCCCTCCGACTCATGCCTCCCCCTCCTCGCCTCCTCGGTCTCCCGATGATGGGGAAGAGAACGATTGGAAGGACGAAGGGGTGGGGACGAAGATAAGGGCAAGGAAGAAGAGGAAGCTTCTGCCTCGTCCTCCCGACATTCCTCCTCTCAAAGCTTCTTGTCCCTCCTAGGAAACGACTGAAGCAGCGACGGCGGCGACGGCTACTGGCTGGATGCCTCCGACCAGAGCGACAAGTGGTCCGCCGGGATCGCCTCGAGCTTCATCGGCGACTCGTACGACGTATCCTGCCGCGGCACCCCATGTTTCGGATAAACGACGGGGGAAGGAGACAGGAGGGGAAGACAAAGATAGGCATTGACAACGGGCAGGAGGGAAAGAGGGAGGGGGGAGAGAGGAACTGTTGAGTGGGACGACGACGACGACAACGACGTCGACGACGACGACGAGGTCCACCTCAGAAGGGAACGGGGAAGGAGGACGAGGAGGAGGAGGAGGAGGAGGAGGAGGAGGGGGAGTAGGAAAAGGAGGAGGAGAGAAAGCGAGGAAGACGAGGAGGAGGAGGGATGGACAATGTTTTTTGTCCGGAAGGAGACCGGAGGTGGCGTCCATGGTCAGCCAGCTCGCACTGGCGCCAGGGTAGAACGACTCGCGGCGGGCACATCGCCGGAACACGTCCACCACGAGAAACTTACCTCTCTTGCATCTACGCCTTTACGGGTTCGGCTTGCGGATGGTCGCCTCCCCGAAAACGAGTCCCCAGTCCAGGAACCTTCTGAAAGCTCACGTCGTTGGGCTTGCGAGAAGGACCCTGCAGCAAGCGCGCAGCTCGGCCTCCAGCACCTCTAGCTGTGCTGGCACCTGGCACCGCTCGCCAGAAGGCAAGTCGGTGGCCACGCGCGGGGCATGCGGACCCCGACCTTGAGCGGCGGCGCCTGGAGAGTCAAGGGAAGGCAAAAAGGCCGCATGGCCAACACCGCACCTGCCAGGCCAACAGCCGCAGCCTGCGCCGTGAGCGCCTTCGAAGCCAACCATCAGCGACCTTCCAGCGACCGCGCGTCCTCGGCGGCGGCCTCGGGCTCGGTGAAGTTGCTCATGCCGCCTTCATGCTGGCTCGGGAGCTCGCGTTGACGACGGCGCTCCCTCTGGCCCCAACACCCGAAACCGGACAAGGAAAAGTAGGCTAGGGCGCGCGCGAAGAACCCACAGCAGCGTCATCCTCGCCCCGGTCGGCCTGACAGTGGTCAAGCCAATCCTGCAGGCGGCGCGCGATGCCGTCCGCGCCGTCGAGCGCGCACCTGGGTTGCTCCGTCTGCGGCGCGGTGTCCCGAGCCGCCGTGCGCCTGAAGCCCGCATGATCCAGGGCCCGCAGCGCCTGCGTTCCTCCATCGGGCGCCGCGGGGCGCCTCGTCTGCACCGTGGTGGCGACCACCTGGGGAGGCGAGAAGCGACCGAACGATGATGATGGTGAGTGAAAGGGGAGAGGGGCGGGAGGTGAGGCGAGGTTCCTGCGCGAGGTGTCCAGAGAAAACAAAAACCCTACTTTGGATATGGGGGCTGACACCAACTACTGGGGCTAAAGTACGACTAATACGGCTAACTACTACGACTACACAAACGACGACGACGACGACTACCACCACTCCTACTACTACTTCTACTACTATGACTACTGCTACCACTACGACCAATACTTCTACTACTAAAAAATAGCATCTACTACTACCACTAACACCTCCGCTACTTCTACTACTACTTCTTCTTCTACTACTACTACTACGACTACTACTATTACTACGACTACTACTACGTATTGATACTACGACTTACTACTACTAATAGTACGACTGGCTACTACCCACTACCAGTTACTACGACTACGACAATGACGACTACGACTACCACTTTTCCGATTACCACTACCACCACCGCTATTACCACTATTACCATTAGTACTTGAACTACTACTACGACTACTACTACTACTACTACTACTACTACTACTACTACTACTACTACTACTACTACTACTACTACTACTACTACTACTACTACTACTACTACTACTACTACTACTACTACTACTACTACTACTACTACTACTACTACTACTACGACTACGACTACTACTACTACTACTACTACTACTGCTACTACGTATAGTACTACCATTACGGCCACCACCACCACTACTACTACGACTACGACTACGACTACGACTACGACTACGACTACGACTACGACTACGACTACTACTACTACTACTACTGCTACTACTACTACTACTACTACTACTACTACTACTACTACTACTACGACTATTATTACGATTGCGGCTACTACGACTACGAGTACTGCTACTGCGACTACTACTACTACTACTACTACTACTACTACTACTACTACTACTACTACGACTACGACTACTACTACTACTACTACTACTACTACTACTACTACTACTACTACTACTACTACTACTACTACTACTACTACTACTACTACCACTAGTATTATTACTACTACTACTACCACAAATACGACCACTTTTACTACTACTACGACTGCTACTCCGACGACTATTATTACTACTGCGACTACTACTACGAGTATTACGACTAGCACTCGTACTTCTTAGTTCTACGATCGCTGCCATTACTACTGCAGCCATGGCCAGCGGCACGGCCGGCACGCGCGGCACAAAGCGGCACGGGGCGGCACGGGGGTGACGCGGGGCGGCAGCGGCGCGGGGCGGCGACGGGGCGAAAAGCCCGCATGCATAGCCAGATGGTTAGACCAGGCAAGAAACCCGAGGTGCACACACACACACACCTGTTTGGGGAACTACAATGGCCTCGACGAGGCCAAACCTCAAGCGCCTGCTATGCGGCTGTGACCATTTGCATTTTGATGGAAGCCGCTGGCGCGGGGCCTTAGATCCTGTGATGCATCCAATGACGATGGACGTGCAATCTGCTTCTTCTGTAAGCACATGCGCTTCAGAATGCGCAGCGCCCTCTGGTGGTGTTTGCGCGCTCGATGGCGGTCTCCCCTTTTCGGCAGAACTCGCGCGCCCGAGCGCGAGCCGCAGGAGGCGGGCCCCCGGCGCGTACTCATGGGCCCGGCCCCTCGACGGCCCCAAACCATCCGGGATGGCGGCTCCAGGGCGGGCGCCGCGCCGCTGACCCAGCCGCGCAGCCCAGCAAAGGCGGGCACCGCCGCCCGGGGGCAGCGCGGATACTGCGAGAGGCGCTGCGCGCCCAGGCTGAGACGGGCAACCTCCTCCAGCGAAATCGCGACGACCACGCCGACAACCCCGTCGCCCCAGAAGTCGCGACTCCGAACCACTCCGCGGAGTGCCCGCAGGCGCCCTTGTTGCAAATGAGCAGGACCACTGCAAAGCAGGCGCCACAGCAGGAAGACTCGCGCCGCGTCCTGCACGACAGCGCTCGAATCGCCAACGAGGCACAGAAAAGGGCCCCACGTGGAACAGCAAGCCCGCCTTCTCCACCGGGCGCAGCGCCGCCGCCGCCCCGCGTCGCGGGAATGCCGCGACGCGCCCCCGCGCGAGGGGGCCCGCATCGTGCCCGAAAAGCAAAGCGATATAGACAAGAAGCCGCCCCTGCCCTGCAACGGCGCCACGCTGACCAGAAATTGCCTCTCGCTCGGGCGCGCGACGAATTCAATTATCAGCGCGCGCCCCCTCGCCAGGTCTGGCTTCGCGACGGCGAGCTGAAGCGAGGGCGCGGCTGTAGTATCAGCTCGCCGCAAAATGCATTCAGGAAAAAAATATCCCGGCAAAGCAACCTAACAGCGATGTGTAGGAGCATATCTGGAAGCATTCCCCTTAAGATTCAGATGAGAATCCAGTTGTAGAATTCTGCTGTTCCCGCAGCCGTAGTCGCATTCGCGGTGACAGTCGCAGTGGCAACGGCAGTCAGCAGTCACAGCCTCAGCCTCAGCCTGCCTCAGCCTCAGCCTCAGCCTGCCTCAGCCTCAGCCTGCCTCAGCCTCAGCCTCAGCCTGCTTCAGCCTCAGCCTCAGTCTGCCTTCAGCCTCGGCCTCAGCCTCAGCCTGCCTCAGCCTCAGCCTGCATCAGCCTCAGCCTCAGCCTCAGCCTGCCTCAGCATCAGCCTGCCTCAGCCTCAGCCTCAGCCTGCCTCAGCCTCAGCCTCAGCCTGCTTCAGCCTCAGCCTCAGTCTGCCTTCAGCCTCGGCCTCAGCCTCAGCCTGCCTCAGCCTCAGCCTGCATCAGCCTCAGCCTCAGCCTCAGCCTGCCTCCTCAGCCTCAGCCTCAGCCTCAGCCTCAGCCTCAGCCTCAGCCTCAGCCTCAGCCTCAGCTCTCAGCCTGCCTCAGCCTCAGCCTCAGCCTGCCTCAGCCTCAGCCTCAGCCCTCAGCCTCAGCCTCAGCCTCAGCCTCAGCCTCAGCCTGCCAGCCTCAGCCTCAGCCTCAGCCTCAGCCTCAGCCTCAGCCTCAGCCTCAGCCTCAGCATCAGCCTCAGCCTCAGCCTCAGCCTGCCTCAGCTCAGCCTGCCTCAGCCTCAGCCTCAGCCTGCCTCAGCCTCAGCCTCAGCCTCAGCCTCAGCCTCAGCCTCAGCCTCAGCCTCAGCCTCAGCCTCAGCCTCAGCCTCAGCCTCAGCCTGCTCAGCCTCAGCCTCAGCCTCAGCCTCAGCCTGCCTCAGCCTCAGCCTCAGCCTCAGCCTCAGCCTCAGCCTCAGCCTCAGCCTCAGCCTCAGCCTCAGCCTCAGCCAGCAGCTGCCTCAGCATTCAAAATGTGGCCCAGGAATGGAGTTCTGGGAACTCGAAGAACACGAAGTGGCCTACAGTTGGCTCCGGGCATTCAAAATCATGCCCAGGAATGGAGTTCTGGGAACTCGAAGACCACGAAGTGGCCTACAGTTGGCTCCGGGCATTCAAAATGTGGCCCGGGAATGGAATTCTGGGAACTCGAAGAGCACGAAGTGGCCTACTGTTGGCTCCGGGCATCCAAAATGTACGCCGGGAATGGAGTTCTGGGAAGTCGAAGAGCACGAAAGCCTACAATTGGCTCCGGGCATCCAAAATGTACGCCGGGAATGGAGTTCTGGGAACTCGAAGACCACGAAGTGGCCTACTGTTAGCTCCGGGCATCCAAAATGTACGCTGGGGATGGAGTTCTAGCAGCGCCAAAAGCGATTTTGCGAGGATGTCCCAAGCGATTTGGGCTTCGGCGGCACCGCCCCGGGTCCCGCCCCGACCCCCCTGTGGAGTCATCTGCTGCTCTCTTTTGAGACCACTAGAAACCTATCAGCAAAAGCTGTTAGGTAAAAAACAATTTTTTATGAGAAAGCAAAAAGAAAGCTCGAGTGAAGCGGAGAGTCGGCTGGGGCACAGCAGCGCGCAGAAATTTCGCCCCTCGCATCAAATCTGGCGCGGGGCACCAGGAACGAGGGCGGGTCGCAAGTGCGCCCGCGGGCGCGGACTCAGTCGCCGCCGTCGCCGCGATGTTCGTCGTCGCCGCCGTCGCCGTTGCCGCCGTCGTCGCCGTCGGCGCAGACGCCGTCGCCGTCGTCGCCGCCGCCCCCGTCGCCGCCGCGACGCCCGCGCACTCGCGCTTATTGCTAGCAGAGGGCGGCGCGCGACTGCGCGCGCAATTGCGCTCGCATTTCCGCTTGTCCGACGGGGGCCCAGGCGGACATCGCGCTCTTTCTTCCACCCGCAACTTTGCAAACTAATAACTGGACAATTGCGCCTATGATGATATCGCGCCAGGCAAGGCGCCGCCGAATGCGCGTCTCAAGGGTGCCGCGAGTCTGCGGTCCCACAATGTCCTCCATGTCCTCTGCCACCGGCGCCAGAGAGCGAGGGGCCCCCCTGGGGTGCGAGAGCCCGCCCGCCTTAAGATTCGCTCTTGGATCCGTTGGGCCCCGCAGCCAGCCATCGCAAAGCGATCGATGGCGGAGCCCAACTGAAAAACGAGCGCGGGCGCGAAACGCGACGCCCGGGCGCGCGGGCTTTCTAGATGGATCGACCGCGCGGAGCTCTTGCGCGGAGCTCTCGCGCGGGGCTCTCGAATGGGGCTCTCCGGGCGGCAACTGCTCGGAGCTCTCGCGTGGGCGCGGGCCGCGGGACCGCCGCGAAGCCTGTTCTCCAACCCTGCGGTCGGCTGCGAGCGATGAGGCTTCGAGGTGCGACCCTGGAAGCCGAGATGCGGCATGGCCCGCTGGGCTTCGACCGTGGCCCACCATCGCGGACCTGGGGGCAACTTCGAGGCCGCGGTCTGCTTGGGCCGGCTCCATTCGGGTGGCGGGGTGTCCGGCTGGACGACGAAGAATACGGCGGAGCATTATGCGCGCGCTGCACTCCAAGAAGGCCAGCTGCAATCCACAACCAGCCTCCCCCCAAGCGGCGGCGCGCTGTCGGTATCTCTCCAGCCGTTTGCCCCAGGTCGAGACCCAGCCAGGTCCGAGAACGAAGCCGAAGTACTCCGCCGAATGCGCGATGCGGACTCCCCACATGATGGCGCCGCTCTCACCAGACGGACCCGGAAGACATCAAGGGGTTCCAAGTGGCGGGATGGTCGTGGTCTCCCCCAAGCGCGTTCCTCGAAGGAGCAATCCAAAACGCTCGCGTTCCCAACGCTTGGGCGGGAAACCAAAGGCAGGTCGTCCGCGTGCGCCAGCAGCCCGGCCGTCGTAAGCAGACGATGGAACCGTCGAAGCAGGAGGTCTGCCGCCACCGCGCCGAGCAACGGCGAGGGCGGGCACTGTTGTCGGATGCCCGCCGTAATAACTGATTCGGCGTGGCCCGCCCCCCCAGCACCAAGCCCCCACGAAGTGCCCGCTCAAATCCCAAAATACAGTCAGGGAGACCAACGTGTTGAAACGAATCGAACATACAACTACGTTCCACACTGGTGCAGGCCATTTTGAAATCGAGCATGACGGCGAAACCGCCGTCATGCTCGACCGCGGGCTTCTGCATCTCCAGGTCGATATCGAACATATTCGCCAACCTTAACCGCCCACAAATGGCGTCACGCTATTGCGGAGAAGCCAATTTCGCCCAAGATCGGTTCGGTCCGCCGACGTACTGCGCTTGCGAGGATGCGGTCGTCGAAACTCGTGGCCGTGATCAGCCGCGTTAGCTGTATGGGTCGTAGACCCGCCCATTCCGATCGTCAAAGGCAGAAACTTTCGAGATGGTGAACACCAGCGATTCGTAGAATGAGACGTAATCCCGCTCCAAGACGATCACTGCGACATGCCCTGATGTGTTCCATGCAGGACCTGCTTGGCCAGAAGGCTGAGACCCCATGACGCGGCAGCGGGGATCCCGTGTGGACCAGGAGCAGACGGACATAAGCGGGCAATCACATCCCGGATGTCCCGACGCGAAGGGACCTCGAGGACAAGGAGGGAGCGAACGATCTCGAGCTGTCAGGCAAGTCCTGAGCAAGCCCGTCTCTCGGAGTGCGGAGTCCGCCGGGCGCGCATCGAACACCTTGGCCCAATGATCTCTGCTGCCAGGGCGTCTGGGGACGTATGAATGGCTCCCCTTGCGCTCCGAGTGACGGTCCGAAACTTCCCTTCGCCCGGGAGCGAGGCGGCTAGACTGTCTGGAATTCCGAGCACGGCGAACCGTCGCATCCGCCACAGAAAAACCTGGGAGATCGTCTCGGAGCGCGGTGAACTCCCGAACGGCCGGTCTCTCTCCAAAGCGACGGGGTGTTATCGCACAGTCGCGAGGGCGCCGCTTTCCCGAAAGGAGGAGCAGTACGGATTGGGCACGAGGTCGTCGAAGTAGGGATACGAGGAGATGCGCCTACCGATCTTGGAGACAGAAAAAGGCCCCACCGTACCAATGAAACGCATGGCGCAACCAAGTGTACCCTCGACCGTGTTTGCGGTGACCGCATGTCCATCGGAGGACAGCTCAACACTGACTTCCTGGATGCTTGAGCCAACATGACATGAGACAAACAATGGTACGGAATGAAAAAGAGAAGGAGAGGGGGAGGGGGAGAAGAGGAGGGGAGAGGAAGGTGGAAAGAGGAGGGGGAGGGGGAGAAGAGGAGGGGGGAGGAAGGTGAGAAGTGGAGGGTGGGAGGAGGAGAAGGATGAGGAGGAGGAGGAGGAGGAAAGGGAAGAGGGAGGATGAAGCAGGGGGAAGGCGAGAAAGGAGAAAACGGTTAGGTGAGAATGCCCGGGAAGGGAATGAGGAAAGAGGAGAGCGAGGAGAAGGAGGAGGAGGAAGGGGAAAGAGAAGGGATGAAAAAGGGAGGGATGGGTACGTAGGGGCAGCAGCAGGAAGAGAGAGTCATGGAAGGACGGAGGAAGAGGAAGGAAAGAACAGAGCAGCAGGAGGAGGCCGCGGAGGAAGAGACGCAGGAGAAGAGAAGTACTTTCTTGCGCTCTCACAGGAGCCGCAATCGAGGTGCTCCCCTCGGTAGTTCTCCATACGCCAGTAGTAGAGAGACTCCACGACGCTGCGCCACTCCTGCGAGGGTGCGCCCCCCTCGTCGTACCTGCAGGCCGAGCGGGAGGCGCGGGAGGCGAAGGAGGGAGAGGAGGAGGAGGGTTACCATCAAGGGCTACGGGGACACAAAGATTTCAAAGCTGTCCCAGGTAAGCTGAATGACAATTCCGCCGGGTGTCGAAGCAGCAGCAGCAGCAGGACGGGAAGGGAGGGAGCAGGAGAGGAGCTGCAGAAGGCATCAGCACTGGAGCAGCAAGAGCGAAGGACCGCAAAACTGCACCGCACCGCCGATGCATACCAGATGCCGGGATGGCTGAGGACGGGCTCCAGATCGCGCCGCATCGACGGCGAATTGGCGAGCCAGCGCGATCAGGGCAGCCCCGCTCTGCTGTGGCATCCCATTGGGAGGTCATGGCCCATGACCTCCCAATGGGATGCCCCGTGACTCGTGGGGCACCAGAGCATCGTGCGCTCCTCCACAGCCTCGGGGAAAACGCCAACCTGCGCTGGGAGGGGCTCAATGTACACACCAAGACATCTGGTCGCAAAAAAGGGCTCGGTGTATAGACGCCCCAGTTGTCTAACTGCCGGGTCGGGCGGAAGGGGGTGGCAGCGAAGCGGAGGTAGCGAATTAGCTCACGTAGGTGGTTATCCCAGCGCGCCCCGGCGCCAGAGGTGCCAATGCATCAAGCAAGCGCCCAGCGACGGGGCCGAAAAAAAGCTGCCCTTCGTCCGACCTGAACCCTGTGGGACGCTGGAGCGTCTATACACCGATCTCTTTCGACGAGCTGTTTGCTCCATGGCCGACGAAACGACGTGGTGTGTACACATCAGGCCCCTCCGACTGCACACCGACACCAGCCCTGGACAGGCCCACCCTGGAGGCCTCCCAAATGGGGTCCGAGCTGACTGGGTCGGGGTGGAGAAAATCGGGCTCCACATCGAGCCACGTCGCCGATACTTTGGCGATGCGGCGCGAGCCTCAGGCCACCTCGGCACCTCGGGCTCCACTTGGGGGGCCTGGACACCCTCGGCCCAAGGTCGACCTGGCCAGGATCGGCGCACGGTGCCGCCGTGGGCCGTAAGCGCTGCTCGACCGGCCTCGGCCGCTGCCACGCCCGGCCGCCGCCGCGCGCCGGAATCGCCGCCCGGGCGCACAAGCCGCCAGGCGCTCGCGAAGGGGCTCTCGGCGGCTGAAAAGTGGGGATCCAAGGGGCGGTGCTCGAGGTTTGGGAACAACGACCGGCTCCGCGCGGATCTCTGGGATCGGCGCTAGACCGCCCTCCCTGGCGCGCGGAGCGCGCTAGTGGCGGCGCCAAAGGCGGTGGCAGGGGGCCCAGCGCAGATCCCAGAAATCCGCGCAAAACTCCGAAAGCATCTGCTCATGCCGTGTTTACTTCCTTCGTCTCGAAGGACGAGTAGCCTCGGACTGTGAAAACTCAGACTGTGATCCACTTCTGCGCACAGTGACTTGCTTTATCCTAGACACCACGCTGATGTAGAGTTTGCAGCGTGCTGCTAATTACCATGGTCCTATGCGGGGCCTCTGAAGCAAATGGCTGCGGAGGTGGGAAGCGCTGCGGCAGTCCCGCCCATCCCGCCTGCGCCAAACGGCGTGCGCAACAATATTGCCAGAAGCTGAATGCCACTAGCACTTTTGGCTGAGGTGGTCTAACAAGTTTTTCCTTTCCTATTCCAGAGCCCTCTCCCTTCGGAGAGGGGTACCCTCCCCCTCCGCTCCCTGAGATTTGATGGAGGGTTCCGCGATGGGTTAGGGCGTCCAAGATTGCCCGAGATGGCTCCAGGAGGGCCTCCGATGCTCTAAGATGGCCTCCACGGCGGCTCGCGATAATATCATATTATTCAAAACAGCTTCCGCCATACCTCCAAGATGGCCGACGAGGGCCAGAAGACGGTCCCAAGAGGCCAAGCTGCTTCAAACCCTCTAAGACAACTAATGCATTGTGTGTTGCATTCTCGTTTTTTCGCTTCCGATTCGTTGTTGAGGCCTGAAGATGGCTCCGCGATGGACCAACGAGGCCCAAGAGAGACCAAGAGGCCCCCCAGACGGCCCCAAGAGCGCCCAAGAGCGGCCCAAGAGCGCCTCAAGAGGACCCCAGGGGGCGATTTAGAGAGCTCAGTAAGGGAGCTAAACCTTAGGCCCCCTCTCTTCACCGCCGCCATCCACGATAGCCCCAAAACGCCTTCCAGGGCTTCCAAAAGAGCCCCAAGAGGGCCCCGAAGGGCCCCGAGACACCCCAATGAGCTCCAAGAGTACCCAACACACCTCAACAAAGCCCCAAGCGGGCGCAAAGATAGACCCAAGGGGACCTCAAGACGGCCTACAAATAGTTCTACACCCGCACCGATACGCTGCTACCCCCGCGCGCGCCGTCACATTGTTGCCCGAATTGGTTCAATATGTGTATGTATATATATATATAATATATATATATATATATATATTATATATATATATATATATATATATACATATATAGTCCTCCCACCCCCCGTCTGCTTTCATGGGCAGCGTTTGTGAATGGGCTGGTGGGTCTGTGTTGCCGCAGCCGCATGCGAAGGCGCCGAAGGCGTCCCAAGTCAGCTCGGGCTACGAGCGAACCTAATTAGCCTTAGCGCGCACTAGCGGCTGCTGAACTACCGCCGAGGGACGCTGAGCTGCGCCAAGGGCTGAAGCCAGGGTAGCCAAGGCAGCGACTGAGGGGCGCCGAGCGGCTGGTGGGGATTTCTTGTTGTCCGCGACCGTAGAGAAAGGTCGCACGGCATCAGGGCCGGTGGGGAGACTGATGGGTCTGCGGGCAAGCGAAGCAGGTCGAAAGCCGTCCAAACGCTAGCCGGGCCGCGACCAGGCAGCAAGAAGAGAGGCAAGCAAACTGAGCGCGCGGGCAACCACTCAGAGGAAGAAGAGCCTGAAATGACACTCCCAACTCGGTGGCGTGGGGACCCCCGTGGCGACCAACGAGCACGCAACCAAAATGGCCCGGCGGCGCGAACTTGAACACGCAAAGGTCGACCACCCGGCGCGAGTCGGCACAAAGGCCGATGCGAGCAGGACCGACAGGCACACCCGGACGACGTCCGTGCCGTAGGCGGCACAATAGCACCGTGCCAGCGCAAGAGTGAAGGGGGGCAACCTCGTCACAGACAGGACTGCAAACGGCAGTGCCTCTTGTTTGTACAGTGGCTCATGTCAAAAGCGGTGTCCATATAGGAGAAAGCAGCCGACGGGCGCACCGTTCCACACATGCCGAAGTCCTCGCACCGAAGAGGACGGCAGCGTAGCGAGACCCCACTGAACCAAATGGTCACCAGTGGAGGCCGACACCAGATAGCAGGCCAGGGGCCACCTGACCGCCCATCCCCAGTGTGATCCTTGCATGGAATTCGTAGCGAGACCTCACGGAACCCCTCCGGTCACCAGCGGAAGCCGACACCAGCCAGGGGCAGGTCAGGGGCCACCTGACCGCCCGTGCCCAGCGTGAGCCTTGCATGGAATTCAAGCTGTCAGAGCACCATCAGACAGCGGCGCTGGCGGCAACCCCAGCCGCGTGGGATAACCGGGGAAACGAGGGAGAGGAAGGGAAGTGCACGCCAAGCACGGTAGGCACCCCATTGTGGCAGCTAGCCGCTGCGGCACTTGCGAGCAGGAGGGGAGGGAAAGAAGGCGGCGCCGCCCACGCGGAAGAAGAGGAGGGGAGAAGAAAAGAAGCACGAGCAACGGAACCCCACTGAACCCTATCGGCAATCAGCAGGGGGGGGGGGGCGCGGCAGCCGGTCATCCGACAGCGGTAGCGGCGGCAGACCCAGCCGCGAGCGAATGTCCCTGTGAAACAGAAGAGGAAGAAATAGCGAGCCGCTGACGCAACAGGAGAAGGAGGAGGAGAGCTCACCATAACCCTGTCCACTGAGGCGCACGCCAGGCGCTCTGCATCGAAGCTTAACTGAATACACCCGCCATTGACGCCACCTTGCCGTTGTCCTCCGCGCGAAACCACGGATAAAGCAGGGCCCATAAAGCCGCGAGGAAGCGTGTTATCAGGATGATGAAGTCTTACTCTGGGCTAGCACATCATCCCGGATGCACCGGCGGGCGTGGGCAAGGCATGCTTTCTTGTTTGGCCACGCTCGAGTTACTGCGAGGGCCAGTCGACCCCGACAATGAACCACCCCGGGCGATCTTCAATGGGACGCTCGTCAGGGACAATCACGGTGGGCTGTCAGACTGAAGCCGCGCGGAGCGGCGACTGCGCAGGAAGCAGAAAGGGAAGGAGAGCAGGGGAACGCCGCTGACCGCAGCATGCGTCGGAACGAAGGTCAGCAATGCGGGCGCGTGGCGCAGCTAGGTGCATCGCAAATCCGGCGATGTCAGAGCCGCATCTCGCCTGGGTGGTGCCCCACACTCAGTACTAAAGACGATGTCATTTCTCGTTCGATGAACTTCAAGGGCTCTCGGTTGCTCGGTTCCTCTTCCCAACCTTGCCCAGTGAATCGGGCCCATCCTTCGTCATGCCTTTCCCCCTTGCTCGGGCGCTCTCCTGCCGCGTGGAACCTGGAGGCGGCAGCCCCGTTGTTGCTGGCAGCGCCTGGGCTGGAGGCGTTACTGAAAGCCGTGGGTCTGTCAGTTGGGCTGCGAAAGATGGCCTCGGTGCGAACGATCTGGTCGGCGCGGCACGCGTCGTAATCTGCGGCCACCCACGCGTAGAGAAAATTATGGCGCGCGCCTGGCGGCTGCAGTGCTGGGCTGAAAGTCGGCCGGGCGTTGGCGGGGCAGGTTTTGGTGCAGTGCACGCCGCAGATGGCTGAACATGCTGCCTAGTTCCTGCTGCGTCCTGAAGACGATGGCGCCGTCGGACTCCCAGGAGTTTTGTGAGTCGATCGTGCGCAGTGGTGCCATGTACATCTTGGACCCGTCGTTCTTCTCGGGCTCGTGGATGGTCAGTGGGTTCTTGGAGAAGGGTACCCATTTGCCATGATTGAGCATCCCGTCGCCCCCCGCGCGCACGTTCTGGTGTCGCGAGGCTTCGTCGTGAACCAGTCCTGTCGTCAGCGGCGCGCTGAACGGGAGCATCTCGTTGTTCTCGTCTGCCGCTCTGCCCCCTGCCTCGCACGTGCCCTTCTGTAGGGGCCCGGCGCGGCGGATCTCGCATCCTCGGCGGCGGGGGTCTATCGTCTGTAACGCTGGATGTTGCATCGTCAGCCGCCCCAGTGTCGTGGCCATCGCCTGTAGCTGGGCTTCCTTCAGGCTCGGCTGCCACGCCCGCTTCAGACTCCTCGCTCACCTTGCTCGGGCCGCACTCCAGGACATCGCCGCCAGGGTCCATGAGTACGTCTGCGGCGGCAGCAGGCTCGCTTCCTGAACTGCTCCTGCGCTCTCTTGTCGCTGTTCGTAGACCTTGAGGTGGAGGCTGTAGTTGTCCGCTTAAGCTACACGAAAAGGTTGCATCCCGAGAGAAGCGTTCATGACCACGCTGATCAAGGGGTCTAGCCCCTTTCTCCTCATCGCGCATGCGTGGTAGCCAGGGTCGCACAAGGCCAAAATGTGTTCCTCGGCGTTATCAGCCAACGTGGCCATTCGCACCACTGCTGAAAGGACACGTTGCGTGGTGCAGTGGTACGTCTTGGGACGATTGGTCGAGATCCAATCCCGCGTGGGCGCGTGGATTTGTCGAATGTTCCCAAGCTAACGTTGTCCAGACGTATCGCATGGTCGGGGGCGCCCTCGATGTCAAGTCTGGCCAGTCAGTGTGCAAGTCCGTCTGTGCTATGGACCCTCGGGCCAATGTCCCCGCGGTTGGTTTCGTTGACGTGTGCCACCCACAATTTCTTTAGCCGATCGCCCTTCCCGACGAGGTGTTGCACGACCAGTCCAGCGGCCCATCTTTTACCATTCCATTCCGTGCCTGGCACCAATCCGACGGTAGTGAGCCCCGACGGAGGAAACGTCCAGGCCAGGGCGGAGCAGGCCAGAACGTTTAGCCAGTTGAAGTCCAAGCCTGTGTCTGGCACCTCGTACTGGTTCTTCAGCACGTAGAAGATGTCGTTGGCAACTGAGTAAATACTTTTGAAGTGCACTGGCATATTTGAACTGGACCGTGCCCCTGTGCGCCGCTGTTGTCGTCGGTCCACGCCTGGAAGAACAGGTCGAGCCTGGCGTTGGCCACGTC